GAGGGGGGCCGGTGCCCCGTCCGCCTCCCCGCCCGCTGCGGGTGTCTGTGCCGTGTCCTCTCCTTGGTTGTCTGCCCCGCTGCGTGCGCCTGCCTCGCGCGCAAACCGGTCCCTGTGCCGGCCTCCTGCTCCCGAGCTGTCCCCACAACATCCCCCCGGGGCCAGGCACGAACGCGGAGGAGGCGGCAGCCTCGTGGAAACTGCCCGTTGTCACGCGAAGGTCTCGGCCCCATGCACGTGCTGCGGGGATAGCTTCACTGTGGGTTTCGCTGCCCTGTCGCTTGGTCTTGGCGGGTTCTTTGGAGCCCTGTGAGAGGCTCCTTAGCCACGCGCTGCGCGCTGGGACAGACCCTTACCCAGGACCCTGCTCCGTGCGCTGGGACAGACCCTCACCCAGGACCCTGCTCCGTGCACTGGGACAGACCCTTACCCAGGACCCTGCTCCGTGCGCTGGGACAGACCCTCACCCAGGACCCTGCTCCGTGCACTGGGACAGACCCTTACCCAGGACCCTGCTCCGTGCGCTGGGACAGACCCTCACCCGGGACACCGCTCCTCCTGGCCACAGCGCCCCGGGCTCCGCTCAGGGCATCGTCCCCAGCGGGGCCGTGCAACACTGCTGACTGTTTTTAGAAATAATCAGTGTGACATGTTCTGAGGTGACTTTTTGGCTGTAATTATCCCAAGGAGGCCTTGGGATCCCCGTCAGTGTGGTTACACTGTCTGGTGAGTTCAGGTGCTCCTCTGGCATCCAGCATTCTGCTCGGTGGGCACAGCCGGGCATTCAGCTTCTCCCCTCCGCCACGTTTCTGACAGGCCTATGCCGGACTCAGTACTGACCGTTTTCTTTTAGATACTGCACGTGTGCAAGGTGTTGTGTTTAGTATCAACTTTACGTGTTTGGGAGTATTTGGCATTACACGGGACTTTGATTTAGCAGAGTGATACAGCAATACACTGAAACCACAGTGGAAGTGGAAGTGACACTTAACCGAATACAACCATCGCAACACACAGTGGAATCGCAGTACAAACAGGATTCCCGTTACCCGCTTCACAATATGCTCACTGTCACGCTGCCTGGCTTCCCCTGTCTCAGGGAAGGAGTATGTGGGTTGGGAACAGCTGAAGCTCGTTGCTCTTATCAAAATCCTTATACTTAGTTGTTCGTTTTTTGCACTCTATGAGGGGCTGAGCCATGTACACACACACATCCGCCAGGCTGGTCTGGCTGACGCAGGGAGACATTGACACTCTTGCTTATTTCTTGAGAAAGAACCATGTACACAACCAGTTGATCCACTCAGCTGTGTTATAGTTGCTTGATTGACTCAACTGTTAGAGCCTTATATCTAAAAGAAAGGCCACCCTTTGAGCTGAGATCAATTCATCCTTCTCTGCAGCAGCTGGGCCCAGTGGCACCTTACAGTCTTCCCTGCGCCATGGGCACAACGCCCTTGCCCATCCCCTCTGGGTCCGCTTCCACTGTAGACATTTACTGGTTGTTCACAGGACATCAACGTCTCCATTTAGAGAAAGTCATTTCCAGGTGCCTGATTCCTTTCTCAGCCTTCTAGCACCGCTGCAGAAGTTGCATCTGACTGCTCTGGATCTCTTTTACATCCTCTTTTACTCCTTTCTCCTTTTCATTTCCTATGGGAGCAGTCCCATCCCCCATCCCCCTGCAAAGGGCTCTTCTACCCTACCAACTGCCCCTGCTTCTTCAGTTTGATGGGAGGCCCACCAGCCTCATCCCTTGTGGTGCGGACAGCACAAAATCAGAAAGCTTGTGTAACTGTGTAAGGGTCACAGCAAAATGTCATTTTCAGGGCAAGTATAACTTTATCATGCCAGTAGTTTTTCAGCTTTTTAAAAATGCAATAGTACCTCGTGTCAGAGTAAGCACTCGTAGGAGCTGCGTTACAAGACAAACATTGGCAAAGCTCTGGAAACAGTCAGCGTTTGAGATGGAAAGAAAAGATTTAATTATGTGGTAGATTCTTGAGCTTCCTGCACACCCAGGCTTTAAAGAGCCATACTGCTTTTGTCAAATTTGACATGACAGTAAGAACTGGGCTCTCAGCATAGTCCCAGTTAGAAGGAAGAAATCTTGGGGGTGCAGTTTCTAAGCAGCTGGGGTGGATACACAGGTGAGAAACTACCCAAAGGAAGCAGCATGGGGAGAAGTGCTGCCTCCATCTCTCAGCATTGTATTCCTTAAATTCCTGCCAGCATGAGTGTTTGGGCAACTGCATGATGAGATAGAGCTGATCTGGCTTGCCGGACTCATTTGTTAAAACAGGGTGAGTTCTCAGCTCACTGCAGCAGATCCTGCTTAGGAGAGGGTTGGGGCTCTGCTGTTGGGTGAGGTGTCCTACCATAAAAATCAATATACTGAAATATTACAGGCCTGTACATGACAAAGTGTGAGTATGGAACTGCATCATTTTTTTTTTTCCTAGCACAGGCTACAGAATGAAAAAGGGATCAAATAATCTTAATACTGCCCTGTAATATCACCAAACTAAAGATCAGTGAAGCATTCCAGTGTCTGCAGCCTCACATAACGATAAGTTATCATCTAAAGGCATCTTTTAGGAACATCATTTTGTTCTGAAACAGCAAATGGAGCCAGTGTTGGCCCTGGATGCCACATACAGTAAAAGATTGAGGGAGATCTGCCTTTTGCAGGCATGGGGCACGTGCCAAACACAATCTGCTTTCTAGGCCTAAGAAGTGTTGGATGCTGCCAGGAACAATAACATTTGCTAAAACATCCTCTGCTGCCCTGAAGATCAGCCTTACCCTGCATTTCCTTGTCAGTTTAGCACAAGTTCCAGGACCCGATAAAACTCCCCTGCTGCCTTCTAGGTACCACACAGGAGTGCAATATATTTGAGGGAACAGCCGTGCTTGGTATAACTGATGTCCATCCTGGTCACATACTCTGCCATTGTGAATGTTTCCGTATTTTTCTTTGTTCTGGAGCCACCTGGCAATGAACGGGCACTTTCAGCCTGTTTACACACCATTTGCAGTGTCCCATATGGCATATGTGTTTTACATTCTTGGAGGATTTTCTCTGTTACAGGAAACAGGGCATCATATATTTGTTTGGCTTTAGTGACTCCTTTGATCATTTATTCCTGAGAATGCAGTTCCGAAAATGGAATGCCACAACCATATGGATGAGCGCACTGGAAGAAATCCAGGAAAATCCCAAAAATGCCAGGTTCATCTTGATTGTTTTTCTGGATCACCTCCTGGCCTCGATGGTACCAGGGTTTTTTTCTGGATGAAAATTCTGTGCTTCATCAATCACAACATGTTTCACTCTGGGGAAGTCCCCGTTAAAGAAGGCAATATGTGTCACAGACTGGCACGTCTAATTTCTGAAAACTGTATTGACTAGTTCTCCATTTCTTAGTGTGTTCTAGCCTGTTTGCTTGCTAAAACTGCAAGACTTGGTGTATCAGCTCCAGCGTGCTACATCGTTTTCTAGGTGGACACACTAATTCCGAGCGGATTGACTGCGTGCAGGTGTTGCTTCCCAGCCTGCATGGCCCCTGGCCAACCAGCCTTGGCTCTACCCTGGCAGCAGGAGCCAAAATTGAGGGTCACTCTTCTTCCATGGGGGCTCCATGACGAGCCCCCCAGGTAGGTCGCTCCATCCTGCTCTTCCAGCTTCATGAACCTTGTGGTTGGGCTGGGCCCCACCGGGATCGAAGGCTCCCCTGTCTCCCCAGGATGAGTGGGGACAAGGTCCTGTGCCAGGCGCCGTGCCCTGCTCAGGCCGGGCGTTACCGACGGGGTATCCCGAGTCTGGAACGGGCCGTGGTTCCCTCGTGCCGCTGCCTCGTCCGCCTGCGGCGGCTGCTGACCTCTCTGTGCCGGCACAAGTGGAACCACAGTGAGAACAGGCGGGAGACACGTTCTGGTGAAACCTCCTACCAAAACGTCATGTGTTCCTGCTGCTTGTCAGGATGGAGCAAGCCCCAGAGGTAGCTCGTAGCACCCCCTGCTCCCACCAACCCCGGCACAAGCAGCGCTGAGGCAGCGATAAGGCCGGGGTGGTCGTTTTTGGTGTCAGCACTGGGCTTAAAAACTAAGACCTTGGTCTTTGAAACCTAACGCAATCCCGCATTTTCCAAACGGGGTTCTCCCTACAGCCAGCGGAAGCTCTCTCTGGACCAGAGCTCAGTTCATCCTGGTTTCTATTCCAATTCCTTCTCTTTTTTAATATCCATACTTTTCTCAAGATGACTACTGTGTGTGTGTCATCCAAATAAATATATTTGGCAAATGGATGCCAAATCAGCAGAGATTATTCTTTATGTGCAGAAGATGGAATTAAAGAGGGGAAATGCTCATCTCCACATGTTTGAAACAGTTAAACACAGTTAACTGACTGCAGCTACTTCAAAATCCGAGATTTAAGATCTGAACCAAATTTCTTCTGAGAGTATGAATGTTTTGAGTCAGTGATTTGTAACCTTGGCTCTGTACCTCCTTCTCAAGGAACTGAATTACAGTGATTCAGAGCTGCTGGACAGAGCTGCAGTAGAGCTGCTCTGTGGGTTCTCTTGGAGTTGCTCTTGATTCTCATGCGAATTAGTGAGAGGAGGATTATTTTAATGTGTGTTACCTGCGATTAATCCTGGTGACCAGATCACTGCACACCCTACAAACTTCTTCAGGGGTTGATATTCATAGCAGAAAATGTTTCTTCACAATCAGTCAAATCCACGGCTGTTTCGCCTGTTCCAGGAAGACTCAAGACAAACTGCGTTTGCCCTTGGGCAGGTCTTGGGAAGCATCTCAGAGAGCTTGAGAGCAGGAGATGAAAATCACACAGCCAAGACAGCCCCTGAAACAGGACATGAACCTCAGCACAGCCCTTACAAGAGCACACGGGAAGGCCGCGGTGTCCATGGAAGGGAGGATGCCATTCCCTGGGTGCAGACCTGGGTTTCTTGGTTTTCTTGCCACCCACCAGCTTGTTTGTGCAGTTCAGGGGCAGTTCAGAGGGAATCACAGCTGCTTTTGAAGTCTGTCCCCTATCATTGGCTTTGACGCATGTGCAGTTTCTCTTGAGCATTCAGCCTCAGCAGAAGAAGTATCTTCAAATTTAGCTATTAAGCTAAAAGCTTTTAGCTACTTTTTAGCTATTAAGAGAACATTGCACACAAACTTTCTGGTTTTCCAGCAATCCAATGTTAATAGCCCAACTTCTAAAAAAATATCAGGACCCCCTTGGAAGGATTTGCTTTCTCACTAAATTCTCTAACACTCTGAGAGCAGTTCAGTGCACATGGTTTCCCGCTTCCATTTGATTACATTGGAACATAGTAGAAAAAAACAATAAAACAAAGATTAAGAAAACAAGAAATACAGCAGATAAGTTGTTCAACACAGCAGTTGCCTAAGGAGCATGTTGTACCATGCGGTCATCGAAGTAAATGGTGTGAGTTACAGACTCAACATTCTTGTGAATAACCCAGATACCTGGTAATAAATCTATACCAGTTTTTTTTAATCTGAATAAAAGGGGTATCCACTCCCTGCTTCATGTTGCCACTAGGAGAGGCTGAGCCAGGCACAGCAGCATCCCCTGCCCCCCAGACCAATAAAACTCAGTGCAGAGAGTGATGGAGAATGAATCCAGGAGCATCACCAGTCTCTTGATTCTTGATGTACAGATACACATTCCTATTAATATAGGGGAATATAAGAATACACCTCTTATCACAACTTTAAGCTTAATAATTCTCCAAAATAATATAGATAACACAAATCTGCCTCCAAATTTACAGGTTAAAAATATAGCTATGCACATTCCCAAGGCCCAGATAAATCTCAAAAGCACACATGCATTTACACTGACTGCCAAACAGTTTTCCATTAAAAAAAAACACATGAGCATCAGGAAAGAGCAAGTACATACCATGTGCCAAAACTGTATTAACTGGCTAGCAAATTAGTCATCCGGGAGTAAGCATGAAAAGCAAATGAGTGTGAAGAGAGAGCAAAATGACAAAATTAATTAGCAAAATTTACGATTAATACATAGATACCTAGGTCAGAATTTGTATTGTGCTGGCAAGAAGAGTCAATGGAATATACTTAACCAGCGAGGACCAGCGCACTCCTAACTGGAATGATTTTAGTGCTGGATTGGAGCCCTGGGTTTATGCCGTGAGCGGCCGCAGAGCCGCAAGGGCAGGACAGGATTTAGTGTCCTTGGTTCCTTTCCGTTCCTCTCGTTTCCTCATCCTTAAGATGATGTGGGAGTATCTGTTGCTCAGCAACCGTAGCTGCTTCTATAACTTAAGTGTTTCTGAGATAAAGCAAAGTGTTTATATATCTTTATCTGCCTAAAGCAAAAGGTAAAACAAAGGCAAGATCCTCCAGACCCGCAGGGGAAAGCGTGAGTTTCGCTTTCCTGTGTCCTCGTGGTGCAGTTCCCCTGTCAATGCCGCATTAACGCCTCGGCAGCGATGAGTGTCTAGGAGCACCGGCCACCCGAATGCGCTGATGGCTCACAAGGATGGAGGGAACAACCTGCGCGTGCCCGGTCGGAAGCCGCACGTCTCCAAAGCCTTTCCCTGCTTTGCTGCCCTCCTGTTGGCCTCCTCGGGGTTTCATTTATTGTCCTTTCAGCCTCCGTCCACTGGTGATCGTCACCGATAGGAGACGACCGACCCAAGAGACAAACTGCGGTTAGTGCCAGCGCTAATGTGAGGCCCCGGGCACAGGAGGGAGCGCCCAGCGCCAGGGCGGCTGCGCGAGGCCTCGGCCGGACGGGCAGCGCTTGCGGCTGACCCTGCTGGGGGAGGCAGCGCCCAGGACAGACTCTGCTACACGGGAGAGAGGAAAAGCCGCAGGTCCCTCTGGCACCACCGTTACACCTGAAAGGGCCGTTTTGTTTTAAAGCTGCCCCCAAACGCCTTGTGAGCAGGTGCTGCACCTGCAGAGGCCAAACGAGGACGGAGGGGAGTTAAGCTGCACTAGCACATTAGGCTCTGGGGATTTCACTCTCCAGGCACAGCACCCGTAAGGACAATATTTGTAAATAACAAATTCCTTTCAGTCACCTAACGTGGCCAGATTTCCACTAAGCATTTTTCTAAGCATCTTAGCAATCGTGGCCAGCTTCAAAAGTCTGCAATTCTCCCTTAGAGTGATGGGAGCTCATGGGTAAAGTTGGAATGTGACCACTTTGTTCAGGGGACACCCAGGATCTGAACCCTCGGGAGACACCTGGGGGGTGGGAGCGCTTCCCCAAGCCCTGCTGGAACCGTCCACATGGCTCCCGTTAAGAGCCAAACGCTTCCAAACCAAGGCAAAAACAAAGCTGACGCTGAAATGAACGAAGACTTCCCTCTGATTTTATTGGATCTGAAGCTGTCACGTCCACTGGATCTGTCCAGCTGTGTTCGCGATCCGGGAATGAGGGATATCATGCAAAACAGCCCAGCGACACGGCCTGCCCCTCGCAGCCCGTCCCTGCAGGTGGTTCTCTCCACAAACACGCGGGATGCGAGACCGAAGCTGCTCCTTCGTCCGAGACCTGCAGGACACTGGCAGGGCAACGGGCCTGTGGCGCCAGCTCTCGTTTTTGCTGAAGCTTATTCTGTTCTGCTGTGGCTTCCAACAACGTTACCGCTCCAAAAATTAAACACGCCGAGCGTTTGCAAAGGTGGAGAGACAGGTTACGAGGATTCCTCATATTTTGTCGTATTTTCAGGACATCCCTTGTTGAGAAGTTAAATTCAACATGGGTTGTCTCTGTGAAATCCCAGGCCTTCTCCAAACCATCGTTTCTCTTAAAAACCTGCCCACGTCGGCTTGGATGTGGCACTTCTTGGTGTTCAAAGGGTTTTTCTTTGCTCCCCCGTTAACATGGGACAAGGGCTCTTCGGATGTGGCCTGTCCTCACTGCTCTTGCCTTGGTTTCCCTCCTGCAATCCAGCAGCTGCACTTGGAGCAATAGGGAGGACTGAAGCGGAGGATCTACAGGACAAACCAGAATTCAGGCTACAGATACATGGCTTTCTGGACTTGCTTTTCCCCTCTGGATCTCCGCAGCTTCAAGCTGTTCACAAAAAAGCTGTTCACAAGAAAGTGACTCTGCTGCCGCATCCACGTCAAGTATTCACCAGTCTCCGCAGAGCTGATAAACACCCTGAGGGGCTGCTCTGTGCCGTGTTCCTGAAAATAACATCTCCTGCCTTCCACCTCCACGCTCACTCCTCCTCCCGCTGCGCTCAGCGGCGCCGGTCCTGCTTTAACCAGCTCCAGCGCGTTGCCCGCGTCCTGGCGGCAGCGGTTTTGGCTGGGCTAAGGCAGCTCCCAGTTGTCCTGATGGATTATTCCGATCCAGCTGCTCCCTGGTGCTGCACAAGCTCTCCAGTCACGCACAACCCATTTCTACTCCTCAGCTTAAACCTACGTACAAAACATACCTTCACTCAGCTCTGAGCAAAGGCCTGTCCTACGCGACCACCTGCAGGAGCAGCTTCTGCTGCGGAAAATGATCTTTACCGCAGTGTTGACTAAACAGCAGACTTGTCTTTCCTCCTTATATAACCATTATGTTACAAGTGCCACAGGGACTGCCAGGAGACTTGGAAAGCGCTGCGGTTGACCTGCAGGAGCCTGATCTGTCTGCGGATCTTAGGCGATGGGGTAGCTTGGGAAACACCAGGACCAGTAACGCCAGCGAGAGGCGGCCTGCGGGCTGCACCGGAGATCTCTGCCCAGGAGAGCAGCGGGCAGCGACTCCCCCTGCTCCGTCTGCACCTGCCGAGGCGGGACCGGGACGGAGAGGCTGACAGGGCGACGCTGCAGAGCGGAGCTCGGCCGCGCGGCGGCTGCTCCTGCCTTGCGCTGGTCGCGCTCCCTTCCGGGAGCGAGCTCAGCCGGGGAGCTGCCGGCAGGGAAACCTGCGGCGAGGGCAGGAAGGGCTTGGGGCGGGAGGGCCGCTCAGACTCACCCCTAGTTTGCAGGTCTCGGCTTCACGCTGTGCTGCGCTTCTGCTTTCCCCTCTGGGGACCTCGGGGAGACCCCGGGGCACCCACATCTGCAGGGCGCCAGAAGCCGAGGCTGGAGCCGGCAGACACAGGGGCACTGCAGGGTGGCAGGTGGTGCCAGGTGCGGGTGCCCAGAGCTGGGAGAGGGCTCCTCTCCGCGTCTCCCCATGCATGGGGGTGCACCCACCAGGGAAGGGGCAGCTCAGAGCAGGACCCTGTGCCCTGCCTGTCCCTGGGCTGCCCAAGCACCACGGAGCTGGGCAGCTGCCCTGGGCCGCTGGTGATGGCAGGGCCAGGGCAAGGCCCGAGCGAAGGTGCCCAGAGCCTGGCATGGCCTGACCCAGGCCTGGGGGCTCCCCTGGGTCGCAGGCACCAGCAGAGGGGCTCGAGGCCAGAGCAGGCCGAGGTGCTGGGAAAGGCCCAGGCTGCAGCAGAGCAGGAGCCCCAGCAGGG